AGACACTAAAATTTACCATTGTGTTCTAAATCACCAAGCTAATACATTGACATTGACATATATTTAATAAATGCTTATGTACTACTTTTGAGTTTTTCTTGTACAAAAGGAAACATCTGGCAACTTTAGCTCTGCTGGACTAGAAAATCTTGTGGAAAGATGTTGTCCATCCATTAGTACAAATTTGTTATCACTCTCCTAAACTACTTTGAGGAGTGCCATGAAACTTCACACACATGTGCACACACACACACACACACACACTTTCATTCCGTGGTAGAGTTTAATCTTTATGAAAATGGTTCAGCTTGGACATAAAATATTACTTGTGTGTGTCATCTACAAAAATCTTATTGCTGCTATTCAATTAGATCAATACAAGGATTTTACTATAAAAATTGTTTTGGTTTTAAGTAATAATGGTGTTGAACTGCCATCCAATGTCCAATATGGCATCCATCATAAAAATCTTATCTCTGAAAGGAACATCAAATTTGCATGTAGTTTTATTACAAAAGTTTAAAATGACAATCTTGCCAAAATGACATTCAATATGATCATATCAGTATCCATGTTGAAAATCATTATCACTACTACTGAACAGATTTTCATACCAACATTGGGTTATCACAGAAAGACTTGCTATGATATCTACTTGATCCTAAATTAAAATTGTGCATATCTGATGTCCAATAATGCCATCACAGCAGCCACCTGTAAAATCATCTTTATTTTTAAAAGTAAAGTCTATTATGATGTGGTTATGCCTAAAGATATTTTGAAGAAGGGTCATATCAACATGGAGGTTTTCACTAAGACTTCTTATGATGTATAGTTAGTCCTTGAGAAAATGTGCCAGTTGAATATCCAGTATGGTGACCATGGCAGCCATCTTGAAAATTGCTATTGTTATCAACATGGGTGTTTTATCAGAAAATTTGTTTTCTTTGTCCTGAATAAATGTGGTGACAATCTGATATCCATTATATCAACCACAGAAACTAGTCTCAACATATTTTATCTATGTAGAATATAAGAAGATTGTAACAACTTTTCAGATCTTAAATTCCTGGAAATTCCTTGCAGCCAGTAAAAAGTCAATACCTTCAAGGTACTCTGGTTATTATATTTAAACTTTTCTTCTGAGTCAATATTGTACTGCAAGTGTATTTGGTTTAACAGCATACAGATACAATACTTCATTATTAACTGATCTCATTGCTGTTAAAACTTTCCCAAAGATCTTGTTTAATTTTTCTCGGCATATAAAATTGTTTCTAATCTTTAATTGTTATGACAGAATGTCAAACTTGGGATTGGTTGGTCAACGGAAGTTGTATGCTCTGAAATGGCTTATGTCAATATATTTGCCAAAACTATATTGCTTCCCTCTATAGTTCAAGTTTCATTTTTTAGCTAAAATAAATAATAGTCACAGTGTTCTAACTCCCAAAATAATCTATGGCATATTAAATTTAGAGTAAAACCGGACTTAAAAGGAACTTGCCCATCAGTTTTACTAAACACGACTAAAGTCAAGATAAAAGATATGGATATGTGAGAAAGCTTGCCAGTAGCTTCTCGGTGGTCGGTGGTTCTTTCTGGTGATTTCCCGGTTTCTTCCTCCACCATTAATACTGGCCGCCATGAATAGCCTATCGTGTGCTGAAAAATGGCGTTAAGCCCAATAATAACAAAAACAACAGACAAGACATAACTTAGTATTTCATAATTAAACTCTAGGTACACCGACAGTAGATATTTACAATGACCCACAAAAGGTATAAGCATTCAAGTACCAACAGTGATAGATTGAAAGACAATACAAGTAACATGCAAATATACAAAGATCTCATGTGTATGTGATTTGGACTTTTAGAGAAAAACTTTAACAAATTTTCAATCTTATCACTTTGATGTTTGCAGTGTAGCTGTTTACTGTGATGTCCATCTAACAATGAGGCATCATGCCATAGACATGTCCCACCAATTCAAATTATCCCAACACTAGGCCAACCAGTTCTAGCACTAATGCTATACGCCAAGCAAGGCAACAGCTAGTACAATTTTAAATGTCTTTTGTATGTCTAATCCAGTGATATTACCTGCAACCTCTTGCATCTGAGACGCTCTAACCACTTATGCAACCAGAGCGGTGTCAAAGCTCTCTTGATTTTTATACATATGAACATACAGCATCACAGAAAGGAGTACACTTAATAAAGTAAGACTACAGCATATTTATTGTTAAAAGTATGCAGAATATAATTAATAACAGCAGATTAAAAATTAATAATATATACCATGCCACTAAAGGTGTACATTGGATAAATGAATGTCAGGAGAATGATGGCATTTAACATTACAATTAAGTGTTAAATGTTACAAATAAATCCTTTATGGATGTAGCTTAGTGTGTTGTTTGCTTTGAAAAGTAGAAAATGTTGCTTAAACATTTTCATTCAAGGACACTTGTAATAAATTTTGTTCTTCCAAAGGCATTGCTGTGCTTACCTAACTTTAAAATAAAAACTAGGTTGTTCTACTGTATACTTTTCCACTTGTACACAGCAGTGTTCAGAAGACAGCACCTTATCTATTTTTAACAATTTCAGTTGCTTATCTCAGACCATCTCACCTTCAAACTGCATCTACCAAAATCTGCTTCATAAATTTCCCCAAGGGCTGTTTTACATATGCCAGATTATTTATACAGATCAATGCTATGAACATGTATAGTGGTGATCAAATTTTACCCTATTTCTATCCTTTTTTTTTTACCAAAGAGTACTAACAATTGTGAAAATATCTTGTTTTTCATGCATGTTGAGAGTGAGCCTGATAAGCTAGGTTGCATTATATCCAAAAAGAAAAATTTTCCTAATAACGTTCCAGTAGTTTTCATTTACAAATAAAGTATTCTAGCTGTTCTTAGGATTGCAATTTTTTTTAGCCAGTAAAACTATGTTTGTTTTGTACATGTACTGCTATTGTTAATGTACACATTTCAAAACATCCCCAGGGCCTGGTGCTAAATAGGAATACCATATTTACCATATATATTGGTTGTTGTTGTTGCTGTTATTGGGATTAATGACATTTTCAGCACAAGATAGTCTTTACATGGGGGCTAGTTTTAATGGTGGAGGAAGAACCCAGGAAAGAACCACTGACCCATGAGAAGCTACTGGCAGGCTTTCTCACTCACCCACATTAGCAAAGCCTGGACTTGAACTCTCCCAGAAAGTGGTGAGATGGCAGTGAACAGTAACAGTCATCGCTTTAGACCACTTGGGGCCCCATCATATATATTGGAGCAAGATAAAGTTTTTCCAGTCCCAGAACTCAACGTTGATCTCATGTTTTTTTTTAATACCTAGACCATATGTTCCATGACTGGAAACAAAATATTTGCATGCCACAGCCCCCTATGATTTAAAAAAATAAATAAATTGATTTTCAAGAATAAATTGATTTCTGCTTTGTAAGTTATTATTTTGCATTGCTTCTATTATCTTATTCACAAAAACCCATTTTTATTATAAATATCAAAAAGCAATATAATTGAAAACCTTAATGTACTGAAAAAGTTTATGAAATTAAATCCAAATGGAACCTTAACCATTGGTCAAAGTCTGTAGGCTTTAAATACAATTTTCTTATTAGATGTACCATGACCATTACCTCTGCCTTTTAAATTCAGGAATCTATGAATTTTATTCTTCTTAAAAAACCTAAATATAACTCGGCCACACAATTTGCTCAAGTTTCTCTAGAACAAATATTTTTCCCTAAAATGAAAACCTTTTCTTTGAGCTACAATAATCTTTAACCTGGAGAACTCAATAGCCTTCTATACCTCAAGTGCAACCCCTCCACAAACTGGGGTACAAGGTCTTCACAAACATTATATAATACAAACTTCTTTCAGTCTATGACCTCACTTCAAGTGATATGCTTATTCCCTATGTATGTACGAGCTGTCTAGTTTTCATATAGTTACCTGATGTAGAACGCAAGCTGTTCTGCAAAAAACTTTTCTTTTTTCAGTTATTACAAGTAATCATTTTCAAATGAAATCTTCTCCAAGTGCATGACATCTACAAACTTGGGGCCAGATATACAGTTCAATGTTTATTCAACACTTAAATATCCATTTCTTTTTCTTTGTGCTCTTGCTGTTACTGCCCTACTGAAACTGAAATCTTTTAAAGAGGTCACCTCATGCTGCATAAGCATTAATCGGTTGATGGTTTCTTAGCACAACTTGTTCCTTACCAATACATGGCAACCTCTGATGAGGGAAATGTGTAATCAAAGTTGACAAAAAGAGTAATCTGAGCATAAAAAGAATAATCCACATATAAAAATTTAATGTTTGTATGTACAAAATATTTACCACTGTGGTCTTTTAAAAGCATTTACTGATTAAAGTTTGTACTTTTAGCTTCAGAATGCAACAGACTATCCTTTTCATTTCAAAACATATTCTACCAGCATAGACTATGAATATTTGCACATCAGTAGACAACTAAGTACTGGTTACAGAACATTGTTCTGAATTCAGGTTTTTTTTTTGCTAATAATACTCTTAGAATTAGAATGGTAAAGAACCAATATTCCTTTTATAATCTAACAAAGAGTTGGAAAGTTATATTTTCCAGTAATTGGTCTTTTAGCTGGGACATGAGGTGCAATTGTACATCAATTCAGTCAGCATGAAATACATTGTCAGGTAGAATGCCAGCTTGATACCTCAGGTGATGTGATGTTTTTATGATTTTTAATGTAGCTTTAACAATTTTTCAGTCATATCGCTACGATGCAGTGTGGCAGTTTAGAGTGATGTCTAGAACTGGGCATCATGCCGCAGACATGGAGCATGATGTCCCACCCAGTCAGATTATCTTGACACCAGGCAGGCAAGCCCTAACACTAACCTCATAATGCTGAGCGTCAAGCTTGGCAGCTGTTACTACAATTTTTATAAGTCTTTGGTATAACATGATTGGGGATTAAACCTATTACCTCCAGCATCCGAGGCAGATGCTCTAACCACTAGGCCACCAGAGCGGTTTTATTATCTCAGGAATTCTCCTCTAATTTATCCGTAGCCATTCCAGCAGGAAGGTGATCAAATGAAAGGGACAACTTGTTAAGTACACTGTTAGAGACATTTCAAAATATAGGATGTAATACCTTTAAGAAATCAACCCATCACTTATGCATTTTCAAGCAAATCAAAAACTACTTTCTCGGATGGAATCTACTCTGAATTATGGTAATGAAAGAACAACCTTTGTTCTTTTGTTGTCAAAGTATCTGACACAGACTGGGTAAAATATAAATACTCCTGCATGTGGCAATACTAAATGGCAAAATTGTTATGGCTTCTGCTATTTAAGTGAAGTATCTTCAGCTATAAACTGAACAATATAATCTTATTCTTGCACATTCATATTTCTCTGCAATTTTGAAATCGGATATTATCAGTTTGAACAAAGAACCAATGTGGTGTGCTACTGCTATAGGTAGTCCATGTTCTATTAATAACTCGGTAAATAACATCTCTGTATTTGAAGCATTTGTATCCACAATCAAGTTCTACTTTAGGAAAGAAGTTAGTAATTAAGTTAGTAAGACGAGCTATTTTTATCGTTTCTTCGTTTTCAAGTGTTTTTCCACATCAAATTTACCACCATGATCAATCTTAAAACCCTTTCCACCCTCCCTGCAATAGGTGTTATGCTGCCCTAAAATGCAATGCTGTATTGTCATTCATGTATTCATCTTTGGGGGATTCTGTTTTTGTCTTTTTTTAATCCATCTGTGAAATTATTTCAAATTATTTTTCCTCTAACTCGTTTCAACAAGAAATAAATTTGACTTGAATATTAGTGCCAAATACCTAGTCTAGTTCTCTACGAGATATTAATTAGAACAGAGAATTTGATAAGGAAGATTAAAATTTAGAAATCAGTTTGTTTTCTCCTAAGCCATACAGCTGCTATAAATAGAATATAATGATAATGTTAAGAAAGTTCATGTGGGTCTGTTATACTCTTTTACAAAAGCCATTAATCATGACCTGTAGTTCACAAAATATTGATTCTCAATCAAACATGAATCATAACAATAAACCCAAGGTGAAAGGTTTTAAAGCAGAAACCAGCAGGTTTCTAGAAAATAGGACAGCGGCTATAAACATAACAAACTAATATTATTATAAAAATGCATGCAAGCCTAGAGACAATCGTACTTACTACCCTTATGTCGAATGTACATTGAAACTGTCCTTTCTTGAATATGTTCTGCGGAATTAATGGGATGTTAATAAAAATAATACTGATTTTTTTTGAGGGAAGATATACCATAAAAGTGCAATCCATGTACTGTCATGTGTAAGGTGTAATTTAGTGAAATATTGATTATGTCAGAAATGTGATGGTTGGCATGTATATCTATCTGTAGATGAATATTTTTACACAGCTTGCTGTCTGAAGGTGCATACACATAGCTGTGTCAATGAGTTGATATAAGTTTGGAAACTGTTCTTTATGGTTAGGTACAATTTTTCACAATTCATGTGCATTGTAGTTCAGATATTTCTGCTCCAAAACAATTTTTTTTTTACTAATGTAAGCTTTCCCAATATTTCACTTTCTTGAATCGCTGCTTTACCTAACATTATGCTTGATTTACCATCTGTTCCAGATAAATGCTGTATTAGGATTTTAAGTACAATAATGACATAGCCTGCTTGACCAGGCAGATATATTTTTATTTTTGCTTCCAAATATCATTTTCAGATTCATATTCTAGACACTTACAGGGTTTTTGTTCTATCACAAGATCACACAGAGCTAAACTGCTGGAGAAAGAAATGAAAATTGCACTCCACTTATTATTTCTGCCTTTCTTACATTGCATTTTGAAATACCTATAAAAGGGGCGTGCACGTATGACCAGCATGCAGTCTCTTTTCGTCCATTCAGACTCATATTTATTATCATTCTTTTGTTAAAAAATCACTCAATGGATGGATGTATTTCATAACATCATCCAAAGATGAACTTTTCTGTATTATAGACATGCATTTGTAAAACTTTCTCAATGCAAGGTTCAATCTAAGACATAATGCTTATTCCACAAATTTGTATTCTACTACTAATTGTAATCAATGTTCTATTAAGAACTTGGTAAATAATGCCCCTGCATTTATAAAATTTGTTTCTACAATTTAGTTATGCTGTAAAAAAGAAATTACCTTAGTATTGGAGTTAGTAAAACCAGCTAATTCAAGAGGTCTTTGTTTTACGCTATGACTAATATTAAAATCCTTTCCACAGAGCATGCAATGGGCATGAAGCTATCCTAGAATGGCACTGAATTGTGTTATTCATGCATTCATCTCAGATTCGTTTTTTTCATTTTTTTTTCTTCTAATCCATCTGTGAAATCATCTGAGAAACGTTTTTGCTGTAACATATGCATCAACTAGAATAAATAGGACGATTTTTACCACCAAATTCCTACAGATTATTTCTTTATAACACATCATTTTGTTAACAAAAAATATGTGTGCAAAGATTAAAAATTAGAAAACCAGTCTGGTCTGTCCTAAGCCATACACTGCTATAAATAGAAACAGAGGTCAACAGTTTAAAGGTACAAACCAGCATGTTTCTTGGAAATAAGGCAGCTGCTTTAAATAGAACATAACACAGGAAAGTTGCTGCTAGTCTACAGACGTGTACTTTTATGTCGTAGTTATACAGAAGCTGTCTTTTTTAGAATATATTCTGTGCAATTAGTGGGATATTAATAAAAAGGAGATAAAAAAATATTATTTTTTTTGGGAGGGTGATATACCTAAAAAACCTAATCCAAATACATTTATGCGTAAGGAATAATTTAGTGGAAAAAAAAACGTAATGATTACACCAAAATTGTAATGGTTGGTGTGTATGCAGAAGCCATTTTTATTATTTCTGTTGGTGGTGAACCCAAGTTATTGCATGGATGCATTTTATATTCAGTTTGAGCAACTTCCAACTTTCTGACCATTAGGAAATAAGTTCATCTTTACACCAAGTGCAATCCATCTACAATGCTAGGTAACTGCAAATGGTGGATATTAAGATTTTAATATATTTTGAAGCAAAACTGTCATCAAATAGATGAGCAGATGGCATATCAAAATATACTCTACCTTATGGCATGCATATAAATTTCAGTTTCCAGAGAACAAGATACCTATTTTTTGTACTCAGTAGGGTCTTGTTTAAACTCTGAAGTCTTGTAAGGTTGTTTGTTTGTATTGAGACACAAGTCTTGCTAATTTAAAAGGAACTTTTCTTTCCAAAATTACATACTACCAGTAAATTTGATATATTACAATCAAAGTATTACCAGTTCAATAATGAGTCAACAACAATGGTGAAAATGTTTATTATTTTTAACATTATTATCATCAGTACATATTTTGTAATTGTGAATTTCACTGATGACAGCTGGAAAAGGCTTCTAATTGATATAGGTTGCAAAACTGTTACAACCAAATACCTACAAATGTCTGTAGAAAATGACATGAATTCTGGAGTCCTGGATAGCTACAATGTAAAATTACTGTCATCACCTAAAACACCTTCTATACATTCCAAATGTGGTTTTCTCTGAAAGCATTACTGTACAAGGCAAAGAAATGAGGAAATATATGCAATGTCAAAACATGTTTCACAAATATCTTGATGTTTTCCATTGAATTCAATTTTACGGTGTTAGATCCAAATGATGTTTGGCAGCAAATTTTTGAAATTGATCTGTCATGAAAAAGCTTGTGCTAAATGGTAATGCTGCTGGCTCTTGTAGGAATCATCTTGCATCAAACACAATCACTGGAAACAATGGTTAAAGGAAAGTAGTTTTTGATTATGATACAATTTAATATAGATACCAAATAAATTTAAAAAATTTTGTTTAACCAAAGAAAAAGAAAATCCATCCCGAGAATTCCTTGTCAAAGCCGATATAAAATAATTTTAAAGTTGAATTTAATGAGGATTCATACTCGCTGCTGATAGTCATATCACCGATTACATAAATATACTGTAATCTTATCTTCGGATGGCAAAGAAAAGATAGAATAATGATAATTTTTTCTTTCTAAGATTAGTCAAAAACAGTTTTTAAAAATTAAACCCTTCAAAATGAATCAAACTCAACACCTTTAATATATACCTCTAAAAATACATGACTCACACCATCCACTGAAACTATAAATTGAAATATATTTTAACAAACTGTGTTTTAACAAACTGTTTTCAACTGCATTTCTACACTGTTTAAAGAGTAACTTACTGTGCATAGCACAGTACATCTGTATTTATACCGAAAAGATCATCTGCAATTACACAAAAAGTACATATGTAAATATACAGAAAAATAATATATCCTTTAAAAAAATCCTTATATATATATATATATATATATATAACACAAAGAAATTGACATTTAATGCTCTGATCAAAGAATTTGATTTTTCTGCACATTTTGAAAATGCTAACACATCTGATGCAAATTAAACAAAAAAGAGATTTTTTGTAGACCTAAATTTCTGTAAAGATGCAAAATGCATGACTGAACACATCTCATAGACTGAAGTCCCAGACTATACATTTTGTAATTTGAAGAAGTAAAAAAATTTGAAAAGTTACAATAAAAACAAAGAAATGTGATGTTACCTCACAGCTGTTATTTTCATAGTTTATTTTGCATGAAGATTTTGTTCCAAAGTCTAATAGATTTACATGGAAATCATTAACTCTTTATATTATGAAAAATCATAGATAAATGCTTGGTTAACTAACATCTATCAACCCAAGGTTCTGTGTTGTCCAGCAGACATAAGTCCTTACTCTTCTAGTCTTAGCAACACCTAAAAAGTTTTAAAAATTTGCTACAAAAGTGCAATTAACCTATATATCATTCCCCATTATAAAACCTGAAACCTTTTGTAAATTAGACTTTGGATTCTTAATGTAACTTTAACAATTTTAGTCATATCGCTATGATGCT